TGCTGATGTGGAGAGAGACAGAAACCAAAGGGGGGAGCGTTTTAACGCGTTGCCGCTAATGTGCCCTTATTAAGCTCTGTGATGTATGTCTCAGGGACGTAATGTTGCAGTGTGCAGCTAGGCTAATCTAATCCCAGTTTCCTGCCTCCATACCGCCCGGCTCCGCTGGGCCCGGCCACGCTGACAAGATCAGCTTTTTATTGCCAGCCTTGCAGTAAAACCCTTCTCCTGTCCTCTTCCTCTGACTCTAATTCTACCCTGCTGAAACATGTATCGTGATAGCCGTTTTATTGGGACAAAGGAGATCCAATTGATGGCGTTATGTCATATTGTAAAGTGTGTTACACATCATAAACTTGTTTCTGGTGCCTCATAGATTCATCATTGTGGTCTAGCAGATAACGAATCAGCAGAATGATAGGCGTATAAAATGACAGCATCTGGACTGTGAAAGGAGACCCAGTGAACAGCTGCGGAGATTACCAGCAGAAAAACGATTGCTTTACATGGTTTTAGCAGGTTTAAAAGGTTAAAAGATGGTCATAATGGTCTTTGGCTGTTTCAAGCTGGTCTAAGATGTGAATCCAGCTAGCTTAAACCGGCTAAGACTTTACCATTTTAGACTGTCAGCACCATCATGCCGTTCCAAACCTGTATGGTTGACTTTTTTTTTGTTTCGGTTCCAATTGACATCCGTATAATGGAAGGGGATGGGAACCGAAACTGTTTGGTTACCAACATTTTCTTTCACAGATAAAAAAAAAAATGTCATGCTGGTTTGGAATGACATGAGTGTGAGTAAATTATGCCAGAATTCTCATTTTGGGGTGGGCTATCCTTTTAAGATGGGTCTCAAGCTAGCTATTTACTGGTCAGAATAAAAAGCTGGTCTAGATGGCCATGGTTCACCCATGTTGGTCAACAGTAACAACTATCATGTTCTAAAAACCAATTTGAACACTGGTACGCTGTGGTCAGTTTTAACCAGTTAAATATGGTGTACCAGTCTAATCTGCTGAAAAATGACCAAAACCACTTGAAAACCATTAAAACAGACCAGCCTAACTATAGCTTTGGAAACTAGCTAACAACCTTAGTTAGGGAAAGCTGCTGACAGGAAATCTTTTACTCTTTATATGAGCAAATCTTCACCAACTGCCCCTGTAATAGTATGTTGCAATATTCATAGCGTTCAATTTCAAGAATCCCCAATCATACAAACAATGCTGGAAAAAAATGCAATTTGCTAAAACGAAATGATTAATCATTGCAGTAAATTGCAGATTCTGTGCAAAATAGACCTCACAATTTGTGCACTTGAGGGGGTGTGTAGCGCGTACCAGCACGAAGGTGCATCTCAGACTTTTCTGAAATGTCTTGAGACAGACCCACTCAGGAGGGCGATACGAGTCATTAGGTATGCGCATGAATACATAATCGCATAAATGCCGAAAAACACTGCAACATCAGAGAGAAATTATACACTCCTCTACTTGGACAAGCATTGTTACAAAATAATCAAACGCTCACATGCAATTTCGCTTCATACTCTGGCCTCCCTAATGGTAGTGAAAACATTTCTGTGCACTTGCAAAACTGTCATTAGCATGCTTTGAAGTTGGCACTGTATTAGTACTCAAAGTGTTTACCGAGATCAGGGCATCATGGGTGTAAAAACTCATCTCAGGTAATTATTTCTTCCCCGAGATCCCCGCTGTGGCTGAGCGCTCTTTCTCTACGCGATCGTAAAGGCCTTTCATTAAACAAAGTAGCATTAAAGACACCACGCTTGTGTTATGATATGCAAGCAGTTAGGATATGAAAATTCTCGCATGCAAGGACAGGGTGTGTGAGGAACACTTTTACACCAAAAGATTTTTGTTTTGTTTTATCTCAGTTGCAAAAAACATCACAGTAATTTATGAAAAACAGAGGATTCTGGGGTATGGCTCATCAAAATCTCCACAGGGATTCACTGTCATATTGAAATAATGTCATATCAAATCGGTACATCAGCATCAGCGTACAATCGCTGAAACACTCAGACAGCTGCTCTGCACAGTTTTAGATGTCTGCTAAAGAAGTAACTTGGACGGTTTAGTCTTTTACTAATGGCCCGGATGAATGAGATTCTCTGTGGATTTGCATGCCACATATTTTGGCACATTTTCAAGGCGTTACAAGTAATTATATTTACTATTTACATTTTTGGTCTTATAGTGCATAAATTCATGAGTGCATGTTATTCCATCCATCCGTAAGGCCTATAAACCTTCAAACTTGAAAAGATTTTTAAAAACGTTTTTTATGACTTTTCTATATACCAGTTCCATAAAAAAGAAGGTAATATTGAATAACTTGTATTTTAAACACAATATCACCAGTTCCCTTTCAGTCGGTCATGTTCAATGTCACGTCGGAACGTACCGAGAGTTACATACGTAACCGAGACGTTACTTTTTCTCACAATTTAAAGTTTACATCTCTCAATTTTTTCTTAGAATTGCGTGATATAGTCGCAATTGTGTGTTGTAGAAAAAATGTAAAAAAAAAACTCAGTTTTATATCTCACAATTCTGACATTATAACTCGCAACACTTGCGAAATGTAAACTGAGATAAAAAGTCTATTCCCTTGTCTTTTACAGTTTTTTATTCTGTGGCGGAAACAAGCTTCCACATGGTGACCAATAGTAATGATTAATTAAAAATGAATAAATAATGAAATAATGAGATTCGAGGTATCCGCCCCACAGAGATGATCAAAAAGTTTTTCTAGTTCATCATTAATATCAGAGAAAAGGATACTTTGTGATAAAGTGAGAATAGATTAAAATCCTGCTTTTGGATTTTGAGCTGCCTGCCGCATTCAATTGTTTTCACGTTTGATTTTATGGCCGCAATGTGCCTTTTACCATTGACCTTGTGTCAGAATTTTCCCTTTCTAATTTCTGTGAAGGTTGGACTCTGAGGAGGGACTTGCTATATGTTTGACAAACCATTATTAAAGGTGTCAAGGACATCTCACAATGTTGCCCTCCAGAAACCTCATTTTGGATCTGCGAAGTTGTGTGTTTAGGTGTTTACTCCTTTTGTGTTTTAGCTTTTGTTTTGTTCCACACTGCTGCTTACTCTTAAAAAATGGCTGTTTGATTTCATTGTGCTAAAACATTCGATCTGTGTTGATCTCTCTCGGCATTTTATTCAAAACTAAGTTTCTTACTTGAGCAAGCACAGCTCAGACGAAAAAATCAAAATGTGATTTAATGCTTACGGTCAGTCCAACCTACCATTCATGTACACATTAATGCTTTAAACAACCAGGCATGCATTTTAATCGAGATAGCGGCATAAGAGTCCAAACAAGACGTAATTGATAAGATTGGGAATCAATGTGGCATGACTCCTCCAGCGGGGGATGTTTAAGACAGCCTTGCTAATTAGATGCGTGGATGCAGTATTCTCCTCTTGATTTATGTTAATAGGAGTGTTTGTTTACGTCTCCCATAATAAGCCGAGTGCCTGCTTTATTGGAATGCCATAGATGTGTTCTACGGCTTCATTATCCCTGCCCTTTCCGGCACACTGCGAAGGTCACGCCCGCGTCCGGCCCCTGCGTTGAGGGCAGTGCTCGGGGAAAAACACCTGAGAATAATAGAGTGCGGGACCCAATTAACGTTAAAAAGAGGCCCGGGCGACAGCGCAGGTGAAGCATTGAGAATTGCTCATCATTTTGCCTCGGCACAGACGATAACCCGTGGCCCCTGTTGCTTTGCGTGCCACAGGAATATATCTGAACACCACTGACAACAGGGCAGGAAACTTTAAATTAGTCTTGTGATTCTCATGATAGATTCTATTCTAGGCTGAGCTTTTTTGTTTTGCTGGGTGCAATTCAGGCCACTAAGTTTGGATTTCCTGTCTGTGCTTATGTGGGCTTGTTTTAAACACAGAAGCATTTTATATATATATATATATATATATTTATTTATTACACGGCTTTGTGGAATACTTGATTTGGTCAATTGCGCCATCCAGCAGTATGTTATTCCCCGATAACAACTGCTAAAAAAAGATAACACAGGCTCATCCGGGTTACTGAAGTCAGCTGCACTATACGCTTGCTAGGAACGGTTTTCTTCGTGGAAGTTTTTAGAGAGGTATTTTTCTGCTGATGACGACCAGCCAGCACAACAAAAACATACAAGTTACACTGAATACACTAAATCCAGTAAAAACGCATTTATTGTTTGCATTATTTTTTACCTATACTGGCCTAAATACTAATGTATTTATGTATGTTTAAAAAGTAAATGTAGAATATATATATATATACATACATTTACTTTTTAAAGTACGCTTACTTACCATCATTTTTACTAGATTATTTGTACTTTATGTAGTCTGTTTCTTCATTCAGTGTGTGTACAGCATTTTAAATTATATTCACTGTTCTCTGCTGGTGAAATGATCAATAAATATTATTTTCGGGGCGATCAGTTCATAAATTAATAATTTTATGCTAATTTCTATGTTCATTTTTTGCTATGTTTTTCTGTGCAAACATTTGCCAAGACTGCTGATATTTCTGATTTATGACCCTACATGGAAAAACATAAACATAACACAAATATCATTTCTGACACCTTCCATGTCAGTTAAATTGTCTGTCATGGTCTAAAGTGGATGTTCATGGCCAGATAATCTGTCAAAAGTCTGTCTAGGTGAGACTACAAATCAGCCAAAGAACTTTTACCAGCATTTACCTGAGGCTCCCTATTAAACCTGACATTAACTTTGGCTCCAGGCATCAATGCAGGTCCACAACTGAATTGCTGTTGTGCAGGATGTCTTAAGAATACAGAGCTTTGAAAGCAGGACACTATGACCTATGGCTTTCTGCGAGACCTCTGCCTTCTCAATAAATGTAATAGTTTTTGGCTCCACACTGCAGGTAAGCACAGGAACTCTCAGTCAAAGGCAGAATAGTGTGAATCATACCTGCAGTGCCGGAGTAGTCCGCGATGCTCAGTGGGTAGCCATCCTCGTCTGGGTCAACAGAGAACAAACCCACTCCAAAAGAGCCGTACTGCGCAAAGGAGGTACTGTTCTCAAAGTCCTCCAGGTCAATCCTTAGCTCGTAGTTGGCTTGAATGGTAAGTGCATGGATTCGTTTCATGCCTGAAAAAGAGATTTAGATTAAGTTAATGAAAAAAAGTGTACCGATGAGATTTATTTGAATATAAAGAATGTGGAAAGAGTGTTTGGGTGACCAGCTTGTGCTACAAACATAATTGATACCTCAAATCATGTAGTTTGTTATTAATAAAATACATTTTGGGCAATCTATTTGGGACTGCTAGTGGGACAGAAATGTGTGTGTATTATATATATACAGTTGTAATCGAAATTATTCAACCCCCATTGCAAATCAGGTTTATTGGCAAATTTTACAGACTTTCAGCTGTTTGCAATGAGGAAATCAAACAAAAGTATTTGAAATAGCTCAACAGAACAAATGTTTCAAGTGGTTTCCCCTTCTGCAGTCTCAAAATTATTCAACCCCCTGAATAGAATCCCTCACAACAGCACAAATCTGCAAAACATGTGTTGTCTCAAGCCCACCTGAACTAATCAAGGGCTTCATTAGTTGCACCAGGTGTGCTTGAGCTAGAACACATGACATATCTGAACTGGCTAGGTTTGTTGCGTATCACGTTTGACTGCAAATATGGCTAAGTCAAAAGAATGATCCATAAAGTTGAGACAAGATGTCATCACCCCTCACAAACAAGGAATAGGATACAAAAAGATAGCAAAGGCACTAAATGTTCCTAGAGACACCATTGGAAGCATAGTTCGCAAGTTCAAAGTTAAAGGAACAGTGGTTATATATATATATATATGCCTATATTTCCCTAGTCTGCTGCCTTTAAAGTCTTGATATAGTGAAACCATTAGCGAATTAGCATTGAGATTGTCATTCCTATTGGCTAACCCCTGTGACTGAGTTATTTGATTTCAAACTTCTTACTCTAACATGAAAAGAACTAGCAGTGAACTTTAAGATTCCACTGCAACATTCGTAGCAAAGTTCTATAGTAAGAGACGCAACATTGTGAATCTGAAAGCACAAAATGCACGTCTTCTTCCTCAGAGGAGTTGGTCTGCTAGAGACATAACTTCTCATTCTTAGCTAAGACCGGCTTGAAGGATTCTGGTCTACTTCCTGGAATCAATATCCCAACGGGAGACCCAGATTTTAGTAAGTTCTGCTCTTAATATTCCACCCAGTTTTCACACTGAGGAGGAGAGGTGCTTGACAGGAAACTAATGTGCTTGCCTACAAATGAATTCCCTTTGTAGCCCGTTCACTGGCATGTGCGTTGCCCCCCCAGGACAGAAAATCAATACAGCAGAGTTTTGCTAGGTCTAATCGTAGCTTGCTGCTGGTCTTCAGCTGTTGTGGACCGCAGCGCATGTTTGAGTAGGGTGTTAGGTGAATAAACTTTAGCTGCATGCGGCCATATTTGCTAAACAGAATGTGTTGTTTAAAAAGCATCACACTGTGCCTAACAGATGTTCAACAGCCATTAGATATCGACAAAAAAAGAGCTACGGGTTATAACAATTATTAACATTAGCACTGACACTGAGATATTGTTTTTAAGTCAACGTGAAGCCATTCACAACCCATTTCTTTGCGTAAACTGGCAAATTTCAGAGTAAAACAAGATATTCAGTGAGAAAAAAAAAATAGGGTGGAACTTTATTTTATTAATCAGGAAATGATTGGATAATGAAAAGTGGCCGTTATGTATCAAAGTCGTTTGAAGGTAGGGATTGAAAAGTAAGAGAGATTCATGATGTCATCTAAAAAGAAAAGTTGTCAAAATACTATAACTCATTGGGATTAATTAGTGCATGCTATTCCAAGTTAATATATATATATATATATATATATACAGTGTATATTTATATTTGAATTAGTCTTATTTTAATTTTTTCAGTTTTCATTTTAGTTTAAGTTTTTGTCATTTTTGTCATTTTAGTATTTTTAGTTTTAGTACAGTAATTTTAGTACTTCAACTTCAACATATTTTTAGTTAGTTGCCGAGGGAAAATTTCAAATTTTTGTTTAAGTTTATTAAGTCTATTTTTGGCTGCTACATCTTTTAAGATTCACCCCTTTGCAGCTGAAATGCTCCCCACACTTTGAACCTAAAGTTAGATGATAGCCTGGGTGAGAAGCAGCAGTCTATCAGCCTCCCTGCAGTCCTGTAGAATAGACTAACATTTGTTCAAATGATATTGGCATAATAACAGAGATGGTTATGATGGCTTTGAATGGAGGGGGACTGGTGTGGTACCGTTCCAGCAGCAGCCGAGCGCAACATCAGGCTCTATTAAACACCAACACCCTTCTAATGGTCTCTGCGCTGACTAAATGGATAGGCCATTTGCACTCGAAGGTCATTTATGTTTCAACCCAGGGACCCAGAAATGTTACACAGAGGTGCGATATATCAGAACAGGCGTGCTAAAGACAGAGGGCTGGCTGTGCTGTTCTTCATCTAAAAACTAATGTGCGTATGATTATCTTCACCTGGTCGGGGTTTCAAACGGCTCCAGATAACCTGATACGAGACCCATCTTCCTATTGTTTTGCACGATATGATCTGAACCTGACTATACTTTGATAAGTATAGTCAACAAGCTTGCATTGTGCCCTGTTTTAGTCTTTTTATGGCAGTATCTATTAAAACGAAATTATACTGTTTTTTATCATACAAAGGTCCTTTACATGCAATCTGCAAGCAATCACATTATTATCGCATGGCACAAGCTGATTTGCCTCTGCTGATCCAGCAGCCAATGAGATTGCTGATCAACATTTAAATAGTCTGATTCAGTGTTTGCTGTAGGCTAATCATGCAGTGCGCAATCCTCTGAAACCCTCCACCTCCCCCAGCTCCACCTGCCTAGATCTGCTACGGGATTTATGTATGTTTGATTATGCAGCAGCATCTTACACCGTGTCCTAACTACACACGACGCCGCGACACATGATAAAAGGTATCTTTTCCATGTTAATCAGAGTTTTTGTCCTAACGAGCCAAAACGACAACACGCGACGATTCTAGTTTAGAAACGGTTTCTATTTTTCTGTGACGTCGCGCTGGAACAACAAACACAAATTGTGGCAATGATAATCTCAGGTACTGTTTATGTGCTTTATTTAATGTTAAAAGCGTGTAATGTGACTTAGTGCTCCCAGCTTTGTAGCTGTAAAAGCAACAATGGATAATTCACCTCAGATCTTGAAATTAAACAAATGGAAACAAGAACGTTCAAACTGTGAACAAACAAGTGTATTATTTGGCAAATATTGCTTTAGTAACTCAGTAGCCTATGTATTTAAATAATGTTTAAATGGTGTAATATTTGTGAATTTGTAGACTACTTATCCATTTTCTTGCAATTGCCGTCAAGATTACTCTCTGGTGCTGCGCACTTGCCGCGAGAGCCCGCCCACACGCTGTTCTGATTGGCTGTGGGTTTTGATTGATTTTTGATTGAAATTATTTGTCGCTGGAATCTTATCGCATCACGTCTGGTTACTTGCTCACAGCAGGGTGTCTGTGTACCTATTAGCAGTAGCAAGTCCATACTTGCTCTGCAGCACCAGTAGCAGCAATAATCAACAGCAGCAGTGTGTGTTTTGGCACTGTGTTGAGTTGCCACTATATATAAAATCTGGTTCCTGAAGCAAAACCTATTGAGAATGACTGCTGTGAATCACATGTTGGATGAGTTGGATATGGAGGCAATAACGTATCAGGGTGACTTTCATATAGCTTCCAGTGTTGTTGACACAAAGACAGTTTGATCTGTTTTTGGGAAGCATTGATTACCCCCGAAACTGCCGCCTGAAAGCCCTGCGGGGAGGAGCCCGTTCCACAGCGGATCTGACATTCGTCTGAGTCCACACAACAAAATCAAACACAAACCCCTCGACCTTTCATCATATCATTTCCACGGCCTTGATGGGCCATGTTGTCTAAGCACCAAATATCTACTATCTTGTGATGACATAGCTTTTTTTAACTGTTGTAACGCGTTAGATGTTTTTCTTGCGCTTAAAAAAGACCCCCTCTTTCTCTTTTCTCCTTCTTTCCTCACAGACCCCCAAAAAAGAGGTTGATTACAAAATGAGAAATATTTGAATAATTAAGCATCATCTGAAAAGATGCACCTGTCAAGAGTTTATCAGTTTAATATAATTCTGTTCGTTCTGTATATTGTCTATGAAACACAGCTTAATATTTTTTTTTCAAATTTGGGAGAATGTCTTTTGGCTATTGGAATGAACATTTACATATCTCCAGGCATAAAATTTAACATGCTCTGACATCAAACAGAAATCTTTGAAATGTAAGTACCGTAGTTATGTTTAAACTGTGGATTTCCTCTGAATTTACATAATTACATTCAGGACTTTAATTAAATCTCAAGAGACTCACTCAACCCAAGTAACAATAATTTCTTAGAGATATATACAACAGCGAACATGTTGCCCTGAATTACTATGAAGTGCTAAGGTGTAAAAGGTCATTAATCAATAATCGATTAATCAATCGTTCTGTGAAAGCTACTTTGAAGTGCCGTTTAACTTTGAAAGGCTTCATGTCGGGCCTGAATGACTAAATTAAATAGTTGGTATTAATGGGTTAGTTCCACCAAAAATGAGAATTCTGTCATTCATTCACCTTTAAACTTTTATGACTTTCTTTTTTTCCAGAAAACACAAAAGATGTTAGACAGAAGGAGAATGAAGGAGAACCAACCAACCAACCAACCAACCAACCAACCAACCAACCAACCAACCAACCAACCAACCAACCAACCAACCAACCAACCAACCAACCAACCAACCAACCAACCAACCAACCAACCAACCAACCAACCAACCAACCAACCAACCAACCAACCAACCAACCAACCAACCAACCAACCAACCAACCAACCAACCAACCAACCAACCAACCAACCAACCAACCAACCAACCAACCAACCAACCAACCAACCAACCAACCAACCAACCAACCAACCAACCAACCAACCAACCAACCAACCAACCAACCAACCAACCAACCAACCAATCAATCTCTATCTATCTA